GTAGTTAAAGACCAGAGCCCCAGACGGGTCGGTCCAGGACGGCCAAGATTAGATTAGTTGATTTTATTTTATTTAAATGTTTTTGGCCTCTTTGGGACAATAACCAAAATCATACCTAAGGCATGATGGAGGTATTACTGCTAACAGCATGAACAGAAGCTGGGCGTTTTTATTGCCTATCGATGCTGAAAAGAGCAAAAACAAAACAAAAGCTGATTTTACTTTATTACTTTGTTCATATTAACACATTTTACTAATACAGCTGAAAAATGATGTCGGTTTAAATTAATCATGAAAGAGTTCCAACTCATCCTCACGAAATGTAATAAGGTCCTGTTCAAGGGAACCAGTTTGAGACCTCAGTGCCACGAAGCAAAGCTCCTCTACCAAATACAAGATGGAAGCATGTTCACTGAGGAGAGGTGGACTGATAGCCAACGTGTTACTAATTGATCAATGTGATCAATTACGAGATGTAAATGAAAAAAAAGCATCATTTCAATACGTTTTTCTGTAAACACATCTGTTCTTTACAATATGATAACAAATGTGCTGTCATTGAAGGCAGCACTTTCACAGCCTCGTGACCCATCAACCGGAGCAGCTCTTCTGAACCTTGGTACAGATGACGGCCTCAGAGTGCTCCGTTCAGTTTAAAGAATGACATGTTCTCCCTGGATCTGAAAAATGTGCAGCACTTTAGAGAAAAAAGAGCTGAAAGTTGAGAAAAGTCACAAAAAACTGTTTTTCTGTCATCATCTTGTGACCTCTCGGTTGACCCTTAGAGAAGTCCCTCAGGTTGGCAAGGGTTCAAAAAGGCACATAGTTCATCACAACAGACGCCGGTGTGTTAATGACATAAATTACAAGCTTCCTTTGCCTCTTCAGAAGATGAATTCAAGCAGGTTCGACCCAGTGAGATCATTTTGACCTTCTCCAGGTCCTCTCTCCATTACAATCCTCTGTGGTCCTCTTCTTCTGCTATACTAAAACTCTGTCTGTCTTCCTGTTTGCTTGTCACTTCTTCTTCCTGTGTCTCAGGTTGACCGTGTGATGCTGGAGTCTGTGATTGGTCGCCGGCTCCTTTGTCTGTCACCGTCTCCTCCCTCAGCGTCTGCAGAGCTTCAGTCTGCTGCCGTGACTCATCAGCGTTAACAGAATCACTTTCTTTCCCACCTTCCTGTTTACCACCGGCTTCTGTCTCAGAGCTCTGCGCACCTTTATCCCGACACGCCTGCCTGCGAATGGTCCGTCGGTTCTTGCTGCGACGTGACTGGTCGCAGTGCAGGGTGCGCCTGCGGTGCCATTGGTTGAGGGAGTGTTGGGCTTCCACGCTGAGCTGACGGGCAGCCAGTCGCGGCCGGAAGCTGCTGATGTAGTAGAGGGAGGCGTACAGGGTTGTAAGGTAGTAGCCACCTGCGGATATGCAGAAAGGGTGACGGTGAGAAACTAAGCAAAGTTGAGAATTAAAGCTGCAGTGGGCAGATCTCTGGAAAAAGCAGAGTTTCCTCCTGCAGGTCACCCCTCTCTGTCCGGTGCTCTTCCCACCAGACGAGCAGAGGTGTGCAAAAATAGTCCATAGTTGGTCTTTAAAGTGTCTCACCTGCTCCGGGTGAAAAGCCCTGTGATTGGCTAAAGTCAACCGTCACTGGCTAGATTTTCTTAGAGCTGAGAGGAGGTGCAGAAGTCTAGTTTCCTCTCAGACCACGTGAATTGTTATAAAGGTCACAATGGACTTTTTGCCAAATGATGCCAAAGCAGTGCTGCCTACCCCAGCTTTAAACCCAGACCTGGACTCATACCGTAAGTCAGTCACTACAGTTATGAGTTAAAGTCCTATCTAAGCTAGTTTTACGCCATCCATCCATCCATCATCTCTACACCTTAATCCTCACTAGGGTCATGGGGGGCTGGAGTCTATCCCAGCTGACTCAGGGTGAAGGCAGGTTCACCTGGACAGGTCACCAGTCTATCACAGGGCTACACTTAGAGACAGACAACCAAGCACACTCACATTCACACCTACGGACAATTTAGAATCACCAATTAACCTCAACATGTTTCTGGACTGTGGGAGGAAGCCGGAGAACCCGGAGAGAACCCACGCTGCACGGGGAGAACATGGAGACTCCACGCAGAAAGATCGGGACGCGAACCGGCGACCTTCTAGCTGCGAGGCGACGGTGCTAACCACCGAGCCACCTTGCAGCACTAGTTTTACACCAGATTAAGGAAAAACAAACCTTTAAAACGTCTTAGCTGGTAACTACTGTACACTAAACCCTCTGCTCTTTACACTAAAATGAAGTTGTAGTTCTTTAAACAAGCCTGAGGATGTGCTTCAGGTTTCTTTCCTCACCCTCTCCCTGCAGCTGTGTGGGGTCCAGCAGCTCCATCATGTAGTCAGTGTCGATCTGTAAGGTGACCAAATCACTACGGAGCAGCATCCACGTCAGGCAGGGCAGGAAATCATCTGCTCCAAACACTGTACCTGCAGAGGAGGAGAGGCCGACTTTAAGGAGATATTTACAGACCAACAAGGTGCTGGCCACAACCACAGACAAACAACTACAACTAGAAAAGTAGTAATGACGAATACCTGAGCTGGAATTGGCGCTCATGCTGTTATAGATTCTCTTGCAGACTTTGAGCAGGATCTTGACCTTCTTGTTTGGAGAGAACTCCTCATGCATGCTAGTCCACCACTGCTGGATCCTCTCCACGGTGACGGAGTCGGGAACTCCGACTCCCGCCGACCCCCCGAGGTCCTCCACTTTGTTCTTTTCCAAAACTTTCAGGTTGTTCTGAAGACGCTCGAAGGTGCCGGCATTGGTCTGGGATGTGTGAATGCAGGTGTAGAGGTGAGCGGAGACGGGCTTCAGAGCCACTTTGTGGATGGAACGCTCCACCAGGCAGTCTACAGGAGGGTCAGAAGACAGGAGAGGAGGGATTAGCAGAACATGAAAAGCTGATCCACTGAGGTGCAAAGTAAGTTCTGTCAGTTATGTTAACAACCGTCAGCTCACTCACCAATCTCAGCGTCAGATAAGTCAGTAATGCTGTCCAGTAACGCCTGGATTTCTGGGTAGTCCAGCAGCGTGTCCCTCAGTGACGTGAGCGACGCCCTCACGTCCTGAAGGAGTTCTGACCCCGTGGCCCCTCCAGGTTCAATCCCTCTCCTCAGTGTCGTCTCCACAAAGCCCTTCACAGCCTCAGCGAACGCCGACCCTTTCTTCTCGCTCAGCTCCTGCACACGATTGATCAGTCTCTTCTTCGGGCACACCAGCCCGCCCAGCGCCTGGCCCACCGCCGAGAACCGATGTATGACCTTGTCAGCCAGGCGGTGTGCCGAGGCGTGGTGTGGTGCGGGGCTCAGCAACGGGGACTCCTGCTCTTCCTCGATGCTGCTGATTGACAGCGAGTCGAGCTCCATGGACGGGGGATGGAGCGAGGAGGAGGGCCTGGGTAGAGGCAGCCAGACTCCGTCTTCGATCCAGGACACCCTGTGAGGGGACTGAGGCAGGGGGCTGCTGTGGCGCTGCGTCTCGGGCGTCAGGCTGCCGGGGGTGGAGGGAGCGGATAGAGGAAGGCTCCCGGTGCTCGCTCTGTACGGGGGGCTGCTGGGAGTGTCTCGGCTGGGCCTCCTGAGGACAACCCCTGCTGCTATCTGTGGGGTTGACGGTAAATCGGCTGACCTGGCTCTGACGAGACCTGGACAAAAACAACATGGGAGGTAATCCAACTAAATGTTATGGAGCACAGAGATCAAGATATCATACTCAAATGACAATTCCTTACAGATAACAAACAAATGGACTTTTAGAACTCCCCACTTAGATGTAGAAATGCAGACAGTTCACGACAATCTGGATTTGTGATATCCGTTCTCAAATAAATAGTCACTGTTCTTAAAGTCGTGGGAACTGTTCCTCTAAACCTGAGTCAGGTCTTTGAATTTTCAGGTGTGATTTGAAAGGTTTTATTTCTGTCTTTTTTTGAAATCTGATTTTAAATGCAGCGTTCCAACAGATGGAAACACACATTTCACACCCTGTCAGAGTGAAACTAAAACGGCATCAGACTGAGCGTGACAAGTCCTGACCTGAGCTCTCTGTGCTCTCTGTGCTGGCAGCAAAGGGCTCCTGCTCCAATGACATGGCTCGTTTATTCTGTAACCCCGCCCCCGCCCACGTCCGGGTGGTGCTGAGGCGGCGACCTTGTTTGTATTTCGAGGGCTGCATGGCGGTCGTCCTGCTGGTCAGCCACTCGTCTCCGTGTTCACGAAGGTAGAGGGGGTTGATGATGCACAAGGCGCCGTTGGAGGACGTCAGCTACAGAAAATGCACAAACACACACAAGTTAGGAATTCGGGCATCGCGATGCACTAAAAATCCCCAAATATGTTTATAATGGAACACGCTGCAAACACAACACTGAATCACCTGATGAAGTGAACACAGCGAACATGTGAGCTGCAATCAAAAAGTTCCAAGACTGTCTTTGGTGCATGTTTCATGCTTTCATGTGTGCAACACGAGCACGTCGTAACTGTCACACGTCAGCATGATGCGTGACATCCAACCATCAACAGTGGAACCTGTTAACACGTGTTAACCACCAGTAGGAGGATATTTTCGGTTTCAGCAAGGAACAGAAAGCTTCTGTGTCAGTCAGCAGCCCAGGGTGAGTCAGTTTTCATACAGAGGTGGGTCTGTGGCTACCACCTGGAGACTACACAACAGTTTCTACAGTGGAAAAGCCGAAGTCTCAGTCACGACAGCAGGTGTTGCAGGTCAGGCGCACCAGGATGCTCGTTTTATTGGCATTCACCTGGTTGTGTATTAATCCCCCTGGGTCGACTCTCAAGGAAGAGTTCTACTTTGGCTCCATGGGACTTCTTTCTCTTCCCCAAAATAAAATTCAAGTGGAAGGGTCGTTGTTTTGACAAAGTAAAGGAGGTCCAGCGTCCATGGCAGAGGCTGCAGGACTTTCATGGAGCGCTCCAATCATGACAGTAGCTCTCAGTGTTGTATAACAGGACGAGGAGATTATGACGAAGCAGATGGCAGCCAAATTTAAATAAGGAACATTTTTATAGAGACAGGTTTCTTGATAACATTCCAGTGGAACACAATATGAGCATTTATTTGGAGGCGTGCCACCGGAAACCCGATGAATGTTCTGTATTTAGAAAATGATCTGGCCTCAGTTTCATCATTGAAGGAAATAAGTAATTTCCTCTTGAGCACACACTCGCTCTCTCTCTCTCTCTCTCTCTCTCTCTCTCTCTCACACACACACACACACACACACACTAGGAAACACACCTGTATTGAGCACATCACGCTGCTCGGCTCCGTTTGGGTCATTTCATCAGTCTGTTGCTCAGGCGGTGTGAGAAGCCAAGTTTCTGCAGCAGATAAATAAATGACAGGAAACAGTTCAAAAGTCTCTTTCAGGTTTTGTGTTTCTGAAGTAGATTCTGGGAGAGGAAGAGCCAGAGAGAGGCAGGGACTCACTGGGCTCAAGCTCTGAGAGACGGTCTTTGTTCATCTCAGTTACACTGTAGATCCAGCGGGGGATGGACAGACAGACGGCCAACACATCCCTGATACACAGAAAGAGATGAGTGATAATAAAGTGTTTAAACATGCTGACTCGTGTTCTGCAGACAGGTCTGACAGTGTCCAGGCACTTTACACTGATAATCAAAAAGATCATCACTGTAAAATGCTTGTCTGACCAAGTGAAAGAACCAATAGAGCAAACTAATACCATCTATTACAAGTTAAAGTCCTTCATGAAGAAGTAAAAATAAATATTAGCCGCAACATGTCAAAAACTTAAGTGAAAGTGCTAGTTTTGCTACCTCTGACCGTTATTTTATCCTGTATGACCGCAATAGATTATTAATAGAGAAGCATCAGTGTCAGCAGGATGTTACTGCTGCAGGTTGGAACGACTTTATTTTCTTTACAGGTTTATTTACAGAGACAGAAGATCAAGCTGAGGGCTCCTCTCATGATTAATGAGAGAAGAAAGAAGAGGAATCTAAACTCTGATCTTAATTTTTTTTAAAAACAACCTTTTTCTCAGATCTTTGATTTTGCTAAGATATTGGATCAGTAGATTATTTATTAAAAGGAAACCCTGGAGACGTTTAACGCAACTATTTGTTGAAGCTGTTAACTGTCATCTGATACGTGAGCCCGACTACACACTGCTTCTATTTTTAACAGTGTGTTGTATTTCAAAAGCTTTCATCTGTGCAAAGAAATGTATAAAAAACTCTGTACCGCACGTGCATTATTGTACTTTGTACTTTTCCACGGCTGCAGTCAGGTTGATATTTATGCAATTATTAACAATAATGTGAGAGAAGTTGAAGACGAAGACACACAAACAAAAAGACGCCTGAAGGTTCTTACCTGGTCAGAGAGTAGAAGAGCACCAGCTGAGCCAAGTCAGAGAAAGAGAGTCGAGAGTCAGAGAGCTGGAAGACTGTGATGGAGACACAGAACGAGTGGGTAGCATCAGTCTCACACTAATAGTTCTGCTTAAACACACATTCTTGGAAACCCACCGAAGCTTGAACCACAAAGCCCAAAAGGGGACTTCTTCCGATAAGACTGCGTCAATGTTTGATAAGTTTTACATCCACACAAGCTTGACCATTTCTTTTTAATGTGTGTTATAATGCTGAGCAGGTCAGTGTAGGTTAAAGATCAGATGAACCTTTGCACCTGTTCAGGTATCTGCATCTACAGTGTTATAAAACTGCATGTCAGTGACAATAAATTAGCCTCATTTTAGGAACCACATTTTTCAGTTTGAGGCGGGTCGTAAAGCATTTATGATTTCCAGCTCTCATGTGTGACAGCTTTACCAGGTGAGAGCTGCAGGTGTGAAAGAGCTTACAGTGGTCAGAAACAAATGGCCTTTTCATTGGAAAAAAGGAACAAAGGAATAAATCAATCAGACAACAAATTCTGTGCGGTTTGAAAATAACTCAAGAAAAGCAGCAGCTCTTCTGCGGTGCTCACGGGCTTCTCAGTTTCCTTCTTGACCACTTTATGGAGCAATAAATAGGATGAGGATCACATAATGCAGATGCCACTAATGTAGAACTTTGGTATTGAGCACATTTGCTTTAAGTAAATAATTTAACCCACACAAGAGAATGCATGGTGATCTTGAGCTGAGAGATCAGTCAGCAGCTGGATCTGAAGCAGCCCATTTCTAAACAGTTTTGCTGGATCACCGTAAAGTTTTTTTTTCTCATTTTTCAATTCATGGTGAGTTTTGGTGAGGCTCTTAACATGCTCTCTTGTGCCACCAGCAGCGCCAGCAGAGATCTGGCAGAGCTTAGAAGTGAAATAACTCTGAGAACAAAGTTGTAGTTGATTTCAGAGAGAGATGTTTCTGATGTTGTGCTCATTTATGTTTTTTACTGGAAATTGTCAGTGCAGCGAGAGAATAAAACGATGCATTCTAAGATCTTAAATCTGGAATCGAGAGGAAAACTATTAAGAAAAGGTGAAAGAAAGAGGACGAAATAGTCAAATGTCACACTGATGTCAAATATGTCCAAGAAAAAACAGCTGGATAATGAAAATAATTTCCTTTTAACACACAAACCCGCAGCAGAAAGCGTAACTTTTAAAGCTTAAACTGTTTGTCAAGTTTGAAGTAATGAGTCAAATGAAGGACTAAAAGTGACACACAGGGAAATCAGAGCTCGCACAGAAATAGATCCACATTTGCATGCCGTTGGTCCATACCTGTGCCTGTGCATTTGATATTAAAATCAAGAACGTCCTCATTCTGTGCTCCAGCAGACACACACAGCAGGCCGGGCTGAGACGTCGCAGAGTCCCTCACAACCAGGAAGCTCTGCAGGGAAACACACAGTGACTCATTTAGGTATCTGAAGTGTTACGGAAGCCTGTTGAGCAGGAAGAGCAGCTTCATTACTTGAACGTTCACGCTGGCAGGCCGCATGGCGAAGCTCCATGGCAACCAGGCAGCGAGAACAGAAGCTCTGGGTGTCGACAGACAGCTGGACGGAAGCTTTCACAAAACGGCTTTAAAGAAAAACTGAGTCAGAATTTCTGTAACAAGGCTGGACTGATTTGATCTTGACTGCAAAGGGTTGACTTTCCGACGCTTCGTAAGTGCTGATAAGAGTCGCGGAGCTTGTTTGCCAACTCATAAACCTGAAATGACTCTGTGTCGGCTGGTTAATTCTGATTTGAGTGTAGACCCAACAGTCTTTCCATGTTCTCTTGAGTTATTAGTGATCCCTTTAGCACACGTATTAAAAGTAAGAACAGTACGAGCTATCGTCATCACAACGGAGCAAAGTCTGTCACTGAAGAAATGTGTGATGTGATTGGAAACCACTGAAAAGAGACTGTTTAGTAAAATTACTGTCTCTAAAGTCAAGTATAAAGTTTACAGTTTGATCAGCCTCCCCCATTTAGAGGTTCTTAAATGGTGTCTGATTGGATAGATGGATGGTGGAGCAGTGGTTTGCTCTGCCGTCTCACAGCTCGAAGGTTCTGGGTTTAAATCTTGGCTAGGGCTAATCTTTGGAGTTGTCCCTGCTGGGTTCTCACCGGGTTCTCCGGCTTCCTCCCCGAGTCCAAAGACATGCTGAGGTTAATTGGTGATTCTAAATATTCTCTCTATGATTGACTTGCTGACTGTCGACCTCTCCAGAGGGTGAACCTTCACCCTAAGCTAGCTGGGATACCAAACCCAAGAATCCTGTCAGCCTACAGGCTGAAGGTTTCCTAACGTCTGCAGGGCCTCACTAATGGTTCCTAATTCTCATCTTGTCAACACCAAGCAGCAACTCCAGTGGCTGAACAATAAAATGGCTCCAAAAGTGAGCCAGTCCCCACAGACCTCCATGTTGAAATGTCCAACTTCACAGCAGAAATAAACGTGTTTACAATCTGATACAATAAACAGTTTGGGTGTCTATAGCTAATGCATGAAGGATTAACACACAGTGGGCAGGTGGGTGCCGCAACAGGACAGTTCATGGCCCAGAGATGTTTGAGCTCCACTCGTGCTTCACTTTCTTTTTCTTTAAAGTTATTTGTTGGATAGTGTTAGTGAGAGAGAGACAGGAAAGTAGGGGAGAAGAATGGGGGGAGGACGTGTGGGAAAGGGTCATGAGCGGGATTCAAACTCATGACCTCCACATTGGGACTGTAGCCCTGCACATGGGACACCAGCTCAACCAGGTGAGCTATAGCGGCGCCCCTTTCACTTCCTTTTTCTCATTTTTGAATTAGCCAGAAGCTAAGGAAAGCTGTTCAGGACACCTGGAACTGTTCATCCTTTGTCATATTCAGTCTGTTGTCACCAAAGATGACAGGGTCTTTGCTGTCTGGGCCCCTTAGCAGTGCTGCTTCCTGTCTGGAGATGTCAGGCAGGAACACTTAGTATGATGCTTTAAACCCCCTCTGAAAACTCACTGAACATCTGTCTTATATCTCTCCTGTATCAATAGTTCTTGTTATGAATTTGGTGCTGCAGCGTTCGTCTTTCCGTCTTGTCACTGATGGTAACTGGCAGGTTGAGTTAAATCTTGTTCCTGGTGGTGAAAGTGGGCAGAGGTCTGCTGGAAATAGAGGTGATGTCACGGATTTCTGTGCACCAATCAGCATTCAGCAGCGTTTGAATTTCAATCTGACGACAGTTGCTAAACAGTAGCGGACTTTTTCTGTGTTAAACTGAATGTTATCGGGAAGTTTTGCTCGATTTTGAAGTGGTGGGAACATCTGAAGCAGCTGTTTGTCAAACTTTGCTTCGACTGTGCAGGTGTTCTGTTTGTAGAGAGTCAAATCACGTTTCTGTCTTTACAAGCAGTGACGAAGAGAGAATAAAGCAGCCCGTTGAGACACAGTTAACTTGAGTAAAACGAAGCAGGCGCAATCCCAACGGCTCGGTCATGTAGTTACATCATCAGGTGCTCACACACACACACACACACACACACATCTATAAACACGCAGAGGAAGTCGCTCTCAGGCTCGCTGTGCACCGAAATAAAGACTCAAGAGTTCACTGCAAGTCACCAAGCTTTGAACACGTAGCGTGGCAGTGGAGATTATGAGCAAGGATTTCTCCGGTGATTCATAACAACCACCTCACATCATTCATGAAACCCAGCGAGCAGAAATAAGACTCTAAACTGTGAATAAACAAAACCACAACCTCCATAACATGCTCACATCAGGGCCCTTTCACTGAGCAATTTGTTCAAGTCTCAGGTTTCCTTTGACAGTTTATGTGCAAAAGATTAAAAAAACAAAGCTCCTCCCCCTGTACCAACTACCCACAGCTCAATGGTTTGATGCTGCCGGTTAGAGTTTTGCATTTCTGAGTAATTATCTGCATGTCACGCTGTAAGTAACAAACACATCTTTTCACATACGACAAACACACCTTTTGTACTCACATTCTCTCCGTGCAGCATCCATTTTGTAATGTCATTTCCCTGATATGCACACGCTTTTACTCAACACCACTTCTGCATTTAGCCACAAAGGCAGTTTGTTGTGTTATCAGATGCCAAAAAGAAAAAGGAACTACTTGCATGAGAGGTGCATGTCGCCTCCGGCTTTAAAAAAAACTACTAACTACAGTGAAACATGAATGTAGCACACAAACATCCCTACAGTGTTGTTTTTTTTTATTCTTAACTCCAAACTACTTATTGTCACGTAACACTTGGACTGTTTGACAGAAAACTGAGTTGACAGGAGGATGAAATGCAAACTAGGTTGCATGAGAGGAACGGATCAGAGAGAGGAAATACGGAGAGATGGGAAACACGGAGGATGAGAAGTGGAAGTGGAGAAACGAAAAAATAGTAGTTCAGCCTTTTGTTCCACAACAAAAAACAAAACAGAGAGATTTTTTTTTTTGAGAACTCTCAGTGTAAAAGTCTATAAATCAACAGACATATGAAGAAATACGAGAGGTTTTGGAACCATAATAGTTTATGCTTTTGGCGAAATCACAAATCTGAGCCTAAGGTTGCACCTCATCCTAAAAACATGTGTGAATGAGTGTGAATGCCCTCAAATATAGAAGACTCATAATCAACATATAAGTGCTCAAAATAACAGAATTATCCATAAATTCTCACCATAACTTGCACATTTGACAGGATCAGGATTAGATCTCAAATTAAACTGCTGCTGTTAGTACGTGACAGCGTTGGGATTAACTTCACGTTTCCAAACGATTTTTACATTTTAGAAGTTTAAAAAACAAAACAGAACGTCCTGGAATAAGTGAATCAGTGTCTCGACTACACAACTATACTTAATCTGAAGCCACATTTGAGACATATTGTCACATAACAAAGATAAGAGTCCTCACTGAGTGGTACCACATGGCTGCTTCCGCTGTCAGAAGTCAGTCCCCAGCTTTGTCAGACTACTGCACATCCCTCTCCACATCCCCTGCTTCTCTACATTGTCACTATCAAATAGTAATAACAGAGCCCTTAAGTGATTATTCCTACCCCGGCAGGTGTCCCACAGAGCGCAGCGTGGGCCCCCTCTCTGTCCCAGGGCTCCCCGGGGCACCAGGCCTCCTGACAGCCCTTCAGCTGCTCCAGCAGCGACAGCCTCCTCTTGATGCCCCTCCACGGGATCGCTGTGGTCCCATTGACCGGACTGTGAACCGCCCTGGACACGAACATATGGACACACGCATGAATGCACAGATAAAGTCAGATGTTTAAAAACGTAAAATGATGTTGTCACACTCAATGATTGAGACAAAATTCAGATTAAATATTCATTTTCAATAATCACACGTCAAAATCAAAAGAGTTTCTGTGCAGAAAGAGAACAGTTGATACTCACATGTGTTGGGCTGCCTCAGTTCATGTGTCTTCACCACTCTACACCATCAGCAGCCTCTGCTCATAGTGTAGTCCTCTGTCTCTTGAACTCTTCCTTTCAAGTCTTGCTTAAGAGCCCAAATACCATCAGGCCCTAAATAGGAAGCTCACGCACTCCTCAGAAACACACCTTAAGAAGGTTGTTGATGTAATATGCTGAGTTTTCTCCATTTAAAATACCAGATATCTGTCGTACGGCTGCTGTGTTTGCCTCCTTCTGCCTCCTGCACATGCTGCCATTGAATGCAGTTTCAGTTTTCGTGTGAAAATTCACCTTCTTTACCCTCCCCTCACCTCAGCTCTGCCTGTGGTTAACCCAGCGCTGTGCTCAATGCGAACACTGAAACGACGCTGCATGTTCTCTAAAGGGATACATGAGTCTATTTTTTCCTCTGTGCAGCTCTGCCTTGTGCTCACAGATGATGTGTATCAGAGTGTTGACAGCTGAGAGCAGACAGTGGGCTTGAAAATGCTTCACTGCAGCTCTGACACGATCTGTGATCTTTGGTGTTACAGATGTTATCTTGCACCTGAGGAAGAAGATGTATAAAGACGCATAAAGGAAGAAGAGTGACAGATGGGGGCTGGACTTGTTGACGCCACAGCGAGGGGTTGTGGCTATTTAGTCTAATGTACACGCAGCTTAGTTTACTGGCTGCTCAACACTTCTGCGTTTCACGGAAACCACAGATGAAGGTGTTGCTGGGTGGTCAACAATTTTATTGCAACAACAGTCTTGGTCTTTTCAGAAGAAGCAGTTTCTGTCACGCTTTCTGTTTAAACTATTTCCTGGCAACAGCATGATCTGTTTAGTGGCAATGACCAGCAGCCAACAGCTGACAGCAACGAACCACCTAAAACCAACCATGAAACAAAACGTCGGGAGTTCAAAGCCCTGATCTCGGCTTCTGAAGAGTTATTTTGAATTTTTGCAAAGACAGTTCTTACCAACTTTACAGTAGAAGCTGAAGATGTTTTCATTGTTTTATGTTCTGTCAGTGTGTCTGTCCAGAAGCTATTAGATGCCACGAAATAATGAATCATAACTTTAGCGATACTTCAAGTTTCTATCTCGTTCCATCACCTGCGTAAAAATTGCGTTTTGACTAAACAGCTGCAAAAGGAATCACGTCTATATCTCCAGCAGCAGGACTTAGTGCTAATTATCCACGTCAGCACGCTACCACACTTAACTGAGTAGTTCTTGTGTTTGTTTCTGTTATCCTGTTCTCTGTTCTGCCCTTTACCCTCACCCCAGCCAGCCTGAGCCTGGTACTGTCGGAGGATTCTTCCTGGTTAAAGGGACGATTTTGTTCCCGCAGTTGCCAACATGTTTGCTCAAAGGGAACCAGTGGATTTGTTGGGCTCCTCCCTGTGATATATGTTGTGAACTTCCACCCATCCATCATCTCTACACCTTCATCCTCACCAGGGTCATGGGGGGCTGGAGTCTATCCCAGCTGACTCAGGGTGAAGGCAGGTTCACCTGGACAGGTAACCAGTCTATCACAGGGCTACACTTAGAGACAGACAACCAAGCACACTCACATTCACACCTACGGACAATTTAGAATCACCAATTAACCTCAGCATGTTTCTGGACTGTGGGAGGAAGCCGGAGAACCCGGAGAGAACCCACACTGCACGGGGAGAACATGGAGACTCCACGCAGAAAGATCCTCACGGGGACGCAAACCGACGACCTTCTGGCTGCGAGGCGACGGTACTAACCACCGAGCCACCTTGCAGCCCCATGTTGTGAACTTGTGCTACATTAATAAAATAAATCACTGTGAGCATTTGAAAATGTTCTCGTGTTGAGCTCAAAGTACTGCTGAGCCCAGTAAAGCCCAGTAAAGCCCCACAGCGCAGCCGGCATGCCAACATTTCTCCAAACGCCATCTGGAATGTGTGCATATTTCAAACAGAGACTCTGATTACCTCAGAGCTCCTCTTCACCTCTAAAACCTCATCTCTGTATCAGCGTTCCATGTTTCATAGGTTTTCTCCATGAAAATAACCTGTTCATGCATTAAATTGGCAGATCTACAAGGAACCCGTCTCTCTCTCTCTCTCTCTCTCTCTCACCCCTCCAGTGTTTGCTGCAGCACGAGCACACCAGCTCACCTACAACTCAAACAACTGCTACACAAAAGCAAACACTGAAGTAATTCAGCCATTTATGTTTGAGCTAGAAAGCACAGCCGATGTCACATTAGAGCTGGAGAACGTTTTTTTTCAGGTTCTCATTATGCTACACAGAACTGGGGAACGACTCTTTAGCTTTTTAATTATTGTGTTGACAAAAAAATAATAATTTCAAACACATTTGACTTTGAATGCCTGGCATCAATGTGAGCATGTTAGAGGTAAAAGCTTGAGCTTCTGGAGAAGGATGGTTGATGGTTTTTCTCCGGCAGAAGCTCAAGCGTGCACTGGACATACTGCAGTGCTGTTGTGTGAGTCAGTCTGAGCCACTGCGTTTGTTTAACCATTTGCAGAGTCAGAGCTGTGTATAGAAACAGCGTGCACACAGAACAAACAACCAGTGTTGGATGTGTATTAAAGTGTTTTGGATTATGATTGCTGACTTTACATTTATGAGGAAAAACAGTAATTTCTAGAAAACCATTGTTCTTTAGCATACGAATGTTGGCAGAAAGGTGTTCCACAATGTGCTGGAGCACCTGCAGGATCAGTATGAAGTTTCTATACATCTTTCTTGACTGAACGTGTCACAGGAATAATTCTACATGATGCCATTAAAACATACGACCAGAGTTAAAGCAGCCCCTTCCACACAGTCTCAACAAAAGTGAACATCATCAGCTTTACAAACGTAAAATTTATTGCAGGGTTTTGTATTGGCTTCCATAACATTGCACAGATGTTAATGTTATCGTTTCCGCCAGAGAATTTTTTTTAATCCAACGATTCATGCTCTTCCAGCTACACCATGAAAGTGTATATTCCTATATTAAATTGCACCTTTAGTCTAGCGATGCAGCCCACGTTTCTGCAGAACTTCATCAATCTCCAAAGATTCATGAGGCAAAATCAGTGAAGGACCAAAAAAAAAAAAAAAAGCAAAGTTGCGCATCACATACATTTTGCTGTAACATGATTTGTTTCATTAGCGTTTAACAGCATTTTGTTAAAAGAAATTACAAAAAGTCTGACAGGAGCAGAACATGAAACACACAGTTAGTTAAAAATCAAGACATTTTAAGAGTTCCATGTAATTATGCTGCTGCTGTTATATTTACAAATGAGCATTTTCTGGTAGACAAAGCGTGAGACTTTTATCAGGCCAATCGGGTTTTTGCTTGAGGAACAAGGTGACAAACCAACAGTCCGGTTGTCTTTTGAGGAAGTCTTAATTTAATGCATACACTCAGAGAAATGAAGGGAGCTGCGGCGCCTCAGCCCATACGCTCAGTTGACGTCATTTCAGCTGCAGCAAAGTCGTGACCAAAGCGCGGTTCGTTTCTTCAATATTAACCACCTTCCACACAAATAGAACTGTGTGTTGCTGAAGTACATGATCAATGCGTTGCTCTGCAGTCAAATCTGCCCATGCACAGAGAAAGAGATACACAGGTGGGACAGATGGGAGCTAATGCAAAAAAAAAGGAAGATACAGTAATGCCGGTAAAGTGCAAATGACTGATATAGACAGAGGAGTGAAGCAGGAATATCAGGCGTCTGTGAGTTTCTCTCACAAGAATTAAAAGTCTGCAGATGAAAAGTTAGAGCGCGACTCGTCAAAGCTTCACTTCCAAACAGGAACACTAGTATCATAGTTTCCTTTCAAGGGCCAACTCCACACTGTGGCATCACTACAGCTTAAATTAAGAAGGGAGCGTTCATTTATCAGTTACTCCTCTGGTTTAGGCTCCGGTGCTGCCGAGCTCGCGTTGGCTGCAGCTCCTTTACTTTCACTCTGCTTCTCTTTCTTGTCCTGACTGTCGATCCTGGCGTGCTCCTGCTTCACCAACGCTTCCAGCTCCGCCTGGACAGAAAGTGAAGGCAGAACAAGGGGGTTTACCGAGACGCATGCATGGAAACGTGGGGCGGCGACGATGAAAACAACAAGAGAGAAAAACATGCTGAGCTCTGCTTATCGAGACGTCCCTCAGCATTGGGGACCTGCGACCACAGCTTCACACAGGAAAATGATTAACAGTTACTCTGACATTTCAAGCTCTCCTTGTGTCACACGTTTACACCAACATGGCTTCACGACTGCAGCTTCACGTTTAGATTTCACTTTTTGTTTACATATATTAGTGTAGAGCCAATAATGATAACATGGCGCTGAATGTCTTATAATTAAAGCACATTTACTCCTTTCTCAGTCAACTAATAATACATTGTTTTCATCGTTGTGTTGTCTTATTGTGTTGTATTAGTAAAATAATCTGTTTGTAAAAAGGCCTTTGCCTCAGCTGGCAGGAGGGACGTATCAGCGTCTTTTTTTAAACAGAAGTTGTGAAGTACACAAAGCTGTGCTGCGGTCCACACCGTCATGGGCACACGGTGTGGTGCTGGTGGTTCTGAAGAGTGAAGAGCTCCAAAGTGTGGCAGCTGCAGACATGTGTACTGTACATGCTGGTTCATGTGCTGCAGCTGAGCAGCTGATGAGCTGGCTAGCCTGCAGACTGATGCTGGTAGTAGCCTTGTGAGCTCATAAATGTTTGTCTTCAACATGCTCAGGTGTGTTTATGTCTGTAGGTTAGATAAGAGAAAGATCTGTGATGCAACACTGACACCTCTATGCAAGATTGTACTGACGTTATCAAAATATCGAAAACTGAAAATGGGAGAAACAAGAATGATTTTGGTCAGATTAACACAAAACTACAAGGCACCACAGTGTAATCTATTCAACCCACCTCCCTGCTTGTCTTTGCACTAACCACTGCATTAAAACATGCTATTTGATTTCAGCAGGACTTTTACAACAGACATCTTCATACACATGGCATCATTGTTCAAGATTTTCTTTTAGAGTTTAATGAGAAGATCTACACCACCCTCATGTCTGTAGGCTTCAGTTTCACAGCGACTATGCTCAGCCATGGTGTCGACGGCTTATTTTGTTTATGATGCGTCTTCCAGCATATAAAAAAAGACCATATGGACATGTTGACAAGGTAAAAGTTTCACAGGAGGTTGTTTTAAAGATGGTTTTTAGTTTGCTTATTTAAGGTACTTCTCATGCGTAACACAAACAGTAAAGTCAGGAGCAGAAGGAAATAATACGTGCAGCCTGATGGTACAGTATCTGTAGGGTTATCTAGTCTGTGATGTAGGATGCCGCGAGAGCTGAGAGTCCCAAATTAAATAAGCTGAATACAATTAAATGAGAGAGAGGAAATGAAGGGTAATTACAGTATTGACCGCACTGTGGTCCGAGGCCATTTATCCTCAGAGTCATGTGTGACTGATCCGCTCAAACAACTGTACGGACCTTAAATGAGCACAGGATCTCTGGAAGGTGAGTGTGTAGCTTACCTTCCATCCCAACAGGTCAGCTAGAGCCAAACAGCCGTCGTCACACGTGCTGATGTGAGCTACGTCTCTACAGAGAAGAAAAGATCACGTTAGCATCTGGAGCTGGCATCATGACAACAGACAATACCACCACATGCTCATCAGTAAGCTGTGGATAAGCCGGCAATGTGCGTTTTGCTAAAGAAAGCACATTAAAATGATTGATACTGATGCAGCTTTTTGCACTTTTAGTTAATTTTTTTTTTATAACAAAGGACGCATTTGCAAAACTCATTACTACTAGTGGTTTAAAAGATATGTGCTAACTTGCATCATCAGGATGACTGGACAGCTGCAATGAATTAGCAGTGATCTTTGAGAGTCATAGCAGCTACTGAGTGACGAGATAATGACTTCGCATGTGAGATACTGAGCAACTACATTCAGCATACGTTTGTTAAATTATAGTAAGTTTGGTGGCAATGCAGTAAAATACAAAGCATCTGTTGATTCACTGTGGGATTTGGGGAGTACATGATCTATCGGTCGTCATCAGGCTTTGGTATCCTCTGCTGGTCTGACAGTAAACTGCACACAATACATGCACCTGTTTAACCTGCAGTGTGGAACCTTTGCCTCCCTCTTCCAGCCATAAAGTTTGTTTGCTTTTTTATCTGGAGCATCTTAAACGTTTCTTGACCCTTCTTAGGTTTTTCCACGATGAACTTCACCATACTCCAGATATAAGTAGCAATGAGAAGGTAAAGCTCATAAAGTGAACCCCTTAGAGAGGAGTGGCAGCAGCTCAGTATCACCTGTATGCCTTGTCTGAGTCGAAGTCCATCCCTCCTCCAAAACCAAGCATCCCAAGCAGAGGATCAGCCTGCACAGAGACACACATGATGCTGCACGGAGAATTCAAGAAACGTACATGTGACAAACGAGCAAGTGAGGCTAAAGGAAGGAAAAGGGTCGATGGAGCAATCAAGGCTCACCTGCCCAGTTTTCTCCATGTTAATGAGCAGCCTGGGGCAACCTTTGGAAACCCTAAATGACGAGAGAAACAAAGCACAAGAGCAAGTTTTTCCACCAGAACAATCTGCAATAGGTTCTAAAATGTGGGTGAGAGCAGTTTCTCTTCAGAGACACTTCGACACAGCCTGGATCTTTCATGATGTGGTCTCACTGGCTGTTAGACGACAGTTTACGACTGCAGCAGAGTCTGTGTTCAGACAGGAATGTGAAAATTGATCTGCTCTACCTGCCGACGAGGCTTGCAAAGGGTTGGACCTGTAGAGATGTTCCCATGATGATGAGAAGATCACATCGAGGAAAATCCTGACACGTAAACAAGAGGTGACGAGTTAACTTTGAAGTCTGTTAGATCACATCCCCTCTAAATATGCCCTTAATGCCCTCATACTGCCACCGCATGCTCACCATCTTCATTGAAGTGAAGAATCGGACTGGCAGATTCTCTCCAAAGAAGACAATATCTGATTGAAGAGACACAAAGAGAATATTCAGCCGCCATGTTTCTAAAGTTGAAAAGATATTCAGTGCTGTGGAGACAGGTTAGTAGGTTTACATTAGAAAAATACAACAAGTAAAACAACAGAGAGACCACACAGAGGATTCACTGACCTGGTTTGACCAAACTGCTGCACTTGTCACATTTGGGAATGTCATCAGAAAAGATTTTTTCTACAAGGCAGAGAGGAGGTTAACATCCTGCATCGCTGAAATCATCAAAGCTCAACAATCTCCAGTAAAAGCAACACGACACCTTTCATCCAGTCCAGGTTGTACTCCTTGCGGCAACAAAAGCTGACACAGTGGGAGGTATAAAACGTTCCGTGGGCTTCGATCAGATCGTCTCCTTCAAGTCCGGCTACTCGCTCCAGGGTGTCGATGTTCTGAATGAACACACACAGTGATGTGAATACAAAAACGATGCCTTAATGCAGGTGAGGCTGAGCGTTTTCCTACCTGTGTGTAGCAGCGTCTCAGGACCCCCTTGTCCTTCAGCATCTTTATAAAGTAGTGACAGATTGTCGGCTGAAATAAAACAAGAGAGAAGAAACACCAGCGAGGGAGTTCATCGTTCTCTGTATGACAGGATAAACAATCAGCAATGAACATCCTGCATGTAGTGTTTAGTACCTTAAACTGTCCGGGGTAAAGCTCTTTAGCCAGGGCGAAGAACGGCTCCGGATGTTTCTGAAATAGAATATGGAGAAAAATGTTGCTGATTTTCTTAATACCTTAAATCATTTATAAAAATAGCTAACAAGTGTTGTTTGACTGAAGTATGAGCTCTAATTCTAAATTCAAAGCCTGTACAGGACTTCAAGGGACTTGGGAGAGGTGTTATGCACTGTGACATTGTTCAAGCAATCTTTCACAAACCTTAAAGTAATCTATCTGGAAGATGGCCTCTGGGTAAGGCAGGTTGTATTTTTGCAGGTTTGCATACAGGCCAGTTCCAGGTGAGCGGAAATCTGGGATGCCAGCAGCTGTGGAGGGAAATGGTGTCCAGAGGTAAGAACAAAATGATGAACTAAAATGTAAAAACAGTACAATACCCTGACATGCTCATTTGTGATAATAAAGCTGACAGACTCACATGTGGATATTCCTGCTCCAACCATGCAGATGATGTTTTTACCTGGATGGATGCAGGGAAACTTGTGTCTCAATCAATAATAACATCATTGTGGTAACAGCCTTGTGAGCAGCAGATCAATCCGCTGTGGTCAGTTATAATGGACGGGCTGAGTGGAGGCACGCAAAGACTCACATTTGCCGCTGTTTATGTATCGCGCCACTCCATCCAGAGTCAGCTCATCCAGAACTTTCTCCGCCGAGCCGAGGCCCAAAGTGCTGGAGAAGAGGTTGCGCAGGAAATCCACTGAGAGGAACACAGGAGAATCAGATGACGGGAAAAACGCAGCGAAAGATCAATACTTTCACTCAAGTGTCGTACAGGAAATCAAGACAGAGTCATCGAGGCAGGAGGCTCGGACATAACACAGCAGGCAACCCTGATTTTAATACAATGACATGTTTTTGTTCTTGCTGCAGTACAGCCACTATATTTGTAGAAGAAAGGCAGAGAATACTACGACATGTATGTAACTAAAGGTGGTTTCTAACAGGCTGAAATCATGAATTGAGGTTTGGTTGACAAGAAATACAGGACAATTGCATAATGCAGGATTCAGGATTGGCTCTTTACACATGAAAGAATATTCACACACATTAAAAACAACAATATGAAGGTTAAATAAATCAATGATCCAATTAACTAACCGACTGTAATCAATAAAACCAAGTGTATTCATGTGGTGCTAAATGAACTACAACAGAGCTTGTTACAAAAGCCACAACGTACTCTCTGTGTTTCCTGCAGCCTCGTCCTCACTGCTGTCGTCGGATTGCTCCTGAAATAATACGAACATTTAGTGGCAACACAAATTCAGCAACACTGCTCTGTAAAGCAGTAGCATAAAGCAATAAAATACAGTTATTAAAGTAGTGTACTTGTGTACAATTATAGCACACTAAGTATTTAAAATGCTACTTGTACTTCACTATATTTTAAAGGAAAATAATGTTTTGACTCCACTACATTTATCTGACAACTGTGTTTACCAGTGGCTGTCAGTAGATTAGATGTTTTAAAACCAATCTGGACAAACTGAAATAAAATACAATTCAGTGATATACAATCATTTAATATTCTGCAATACAGTATTCTGTATGTCCAGTAATGTGCCCCTTTTCAGCAAATTAATGAAAGCCTCACATGTCGACGTGTATTTCAATATTTTAGCTGGCTGACAGGATAACTCCTGGTTTTATTCCTGTTTAAACGGGCTGAGCACAGACAGCAGGAGAAGCAAAACCAGAAGCAAACAGAAGAATGTGAGTTGACATGAAAACACAGTGACCCACCCAGTTCTTATTTGAAGGTTTCAAACTGCTCTGAATGTTTTCAACATCTCTAAATGTTCCAAAAGTTTCCACAGAGCCCTGACCTGGGGGCATACGACCAACGCTAATGGTAGCTTTAGGCACTATAGTCACACAACATGCCAACACCAGGGGTTCTTTTACTTTATTTTATTTTTATTTAGCCTTTATTTAACCAGGTCGGTCCCATTAAGATACAATGAGCTCTTTTTCAAGGGAAGCACAATTAAAATTCGACCACTGTTGTGTTGATATTTCTATCAAAAATAAACCCACTGGGTTTTCAGTGCCTCTGATGCCCAGAATGCATGAAGACTCTTGTGCTCACTCTGGCAGCCAGAACACTGTTTGTGCTTTATTTTAGAGTTAGTGTCTAGTGGAACAGCAGAAATAAATGCCTTTAACAGCTTTAATGGACCATAATGGACCTCTAAATGCTGCTTGTGTGTTAAGAGATGAGTAATTACATTCCACTTTTATACTTCAGGCAGGGTTTGCGATCAATACTCACAGAGTCTTACTGAAGTAAAGCTTAAAATAAAGATGAAAGAAAGACGTTTACTTGTAAGGGATGTTTTTAAATTGTGCCATTGCTATTTTTACTTGTGTAAAAGATGGAGTACTCCTTCCATCTCTGACGTAAAGTCACTGAGACAGTCAGACACTGACAGAAAAGGTCTTTGTTTTGATTTTCCGACGCTAGCAGCCATAAACCACCGAGCTGCTAACAGTCATTAGCTGCAGTATTAAAGCTTAACACTAATAGTTTTTCATACCTCTGGTTCGGGCGTGACCTCCTCCTCTTCTTCTTTTTTAGGGAGTTCTACAGATCAAAACATAGAAACCAACAAGTCAGGCTCAACACAGACTTCTCTGTGTAGATGAAGCTGCTAGCTACAGAGCTAGCTACGGAGCTAGCTCCAGCAGCGCAGACACACACCGGCCGCCGTCAAACATCCACCGGATCTACCGGAGCTTACGGTCAGACGGTGTCCTACCTGATGCTCCAGACATTTATCCGCCTGCTGAGTCCCCTAAACCACAAGGCTCCGGATGACAATCAACTTGAACTCCAAATTTTAAGAAGTTACTGGAGGTATCCACGACAAAGACAGAACTCAGCTGAGCTGTCTTGTTGTTGTCCGACGAAAACACGGTCCGTGTTCATCGTGACCCAGTTCACAGGGCATGAATGGTTCCTACCGCAGACCAAGTCACTAGTTCTGGTAAATATGCCCCCCAAAGCTAATATATACACTGCTCAAAAAATGTATGGGAACACTTTATTCTTACATGATTTTGTTCTCAATAAATTACACGGTGTATATCAATGACTGGACAGTAGAGAACAAAATGAGAGGGGGATTCACAATCACTTACACTTTCTAACTACACAGATTGATATCCCAGAAGTTTAGTTGATGTTATTCTGTGATGATTAAGGGTTCCTTTATTATTATTATTTTTGAGCAGTATACATCAACCTCTCTGTTAATGAACACAGGTAACATGTGAAGTAATTACATGTTTTGTATACTACTAGATGGTAATACTACAAACCCTACATGAAAAGTAGGAGTAGTTTATAAATAACATGATCTGTGCACATCAAACCTGGCTACCAAATCATTGTAGATCTTTACATACAGAAGTTGCAGAGGTTTCTTCAGCCTCCATTCATTCCTGTCTTCCAGTCTTACTGGTGTCTTCATCGGCCCACTACGGTTCTGACTACTGCTGCAGAACAAGGCTCACACTGGATTATGGGCTTTAGTTTCCTCACATAAGCCTCCACGGTGAAGATTAGAAATACATACAGCTACACTACGACGTGTGGCCACATGGGTTGCATTGTCTATCAAATATGTGATATGATTTCACATACAAAGGTAAAAAAAACAAGTATGATGATATTGAACAATGAAGTCTTTATTAAATACAATCATATTTACATTTGAACAAATAACATCATCGCAGACAAAGTTTGCTTGAGACAGAATTCATTTAGTATATATTTAGATTTGCACCATAAACGTGTACCTATGACATATAAATTGATTCTGGGGTGAAGTAACATACACGACCAAACAGGTTGCGATGGAGCACACCTCACATGAAACTGCCAACAAATCTGAGGGAGTTTGTTCCACACTTGTCTGTTTTTTTATTTTCATATGCTTTTATTAAACTGGATGTTGACATATTCAGTTAAACTGGAGTTCATACTAATAAACATATGTCAGTTGAAACTCAATAAAAGCTCTCTGTTCTCTGTGACCATCCTGAACTGGACACGGTATGGTTCTGCGACAGAAGACCTGATGGCTGAACTGCTGCACTGACCGGAGTTACGGCTTCTGCTGTTAGTTAGCTGTGTCTATCTCTTTGCTTCATCACAGACCAAAGGGATAAAGTGGAACATGAACTGACAGCAGGACTCTGTCTTTTGTCGCACGGATTCTCGTCTGGATCCAGGCACTACCTCTGTCTTTGGCTCAGCTCCTCCACCTCCTTCTCTCCACCTGCCTGACTCAGGTCGAGGTTGTAGCCAGTAGCTGTGATCTGGCACTGTGGTAACATCTCCTCCAGCAGAATGACGACCAACCCGGCAATCTCAATCCTAGGGAGCGATGACACGTCCAGACGCTTCAGTCCCCTTTAGCAGGAACAATGAAAACAAAGGGGGGAACTTATTAAAACTGTGGTGATTTGTAACGTTAACTAGACTATGTTGTGAGTTTTGACTGATTACTTGAGATTCCTGAGAGCAGCCAGGCCGCCTGTGGTGATCTGTGGACAGTGAGAGATGTCCAGCTCCTCCAGACAGTCCTCGAACACATGGAGCCTGGACAGGAACCAGTCGTCCACATAAGGACACCCTCGTAATTTCAGAGTCCGCAAAGACTGCTGGCTCGCTACGGAGAGATGAATCAGATCAAGAACTGGTAAATATCAGTGAAATGGATTAACAGAAGATGTGCCAGACAAAATAGGAGAGAATACGCAGAGGAAACGGGATTTTAATAGGAAAAGAAAGAAGTAAAATAAGGCTGAGGTGGAGCTCAGTACCCAGGTTCCTCAGTCCGGTGAAGTTGATGTCTGTGTGGCTCATGTCGACCTCCTCTAGAGGTGTGCCTTTGTGCTTCAGGAAGTCCTGACGGAACCTGCCCCTGTGGTCTGCACGGAACCACTCGGACTGGCCAGCATACCTGAGGATGAAACACAGACTACATGATAACTGGGTCTCAGCAGCACTAGGACAGTATCAGGACAAGATTTTAACACAAACACACTCAGTAGTGTTCATAAAAACTGCCAGAAAAAAAGTGGCGGTAAACACACACTTGTTGAATGTGCTCAGTGCATTTGAACTTATTTGACGACATAAGAAAGAAATTAGCAAAGAGTCAATAATAGCTTGGATAGAACTTATTCTGCTGAGTCCCAAAAAGTTGAAAAGAAGAAAATAACACATTATGCAGGAACCACTAAAGCTGTAATCAATTAGCTGTCAACTGTCAAATTAATCAGCAGCTATTCTGATAACTGATTAATCAGTTTGAGGGATTTTTGAGGAAAAAATCTTAAATTGAAATGTTTTCAGACATATAGATTTTTTGTTTTTACAACTCTATGACTGTAAACTAAATGTGTTTGGATTTTTGGGACTTTTCTCAGTTTCATAGCACTGAAAACATAATCTCTTTGTGCTTAGATCTGCTGTTCTGGTGAGAAAAGGCATTTTAAGATGCTACAGTGGGCTCTGAAAACCTGTGACAGCTGTTTTTCCACCATGTTTGGACATGACCACAGTCAGCTTATGTAAACTTGGTTCATAATAGAACACAAGTGACACACTTTCAAGCCCATAATCGAAAGTTTCAGACAGCAGTACCGTATTATGTTTAGTCAGACTAAACCTGAAGGCTGACATGAACAGTAATTTAAAACAAAAGAAGAAGAAAATAATCATCCAGTCTTCCTACAGTATGTCTACACTGTATCCAGAGTACAAGCCACTTACCTAAATCCTCCCCTCAAACGCAAGACATAATATTGCGATGTCACCTCCGACCTCCAGGAGGAGCGTGGGCCACTGCGGACGAGAGCAGGGAAAGGTCAGTGATGGCCAAATATCTAGGGGTAACTTAACAAACTGGATCTGTAATTAATTCTGAGTGCATTGTAATGTCCATTATGTCATAGCTGCAACAGAAATGTATGACTATGACCGTAAATGAACTTATGAGAGATCAGCTATAAAACTACAAAAAAAAAAGAAAAGACATTTTTGCTGTGAGCTCAGCAGTAGATTTGTTTGTTTTGTTTCAGTGCACTGACAGCGGGCATTTGGCAAAGAGGTAACAACAGCTTTTAATCTGTGAAGCAGCAGCAGCAGCGGCAGCAGCAGCATCTCTACCTTCAAAAGTGCCAAAATGTGTCTTACATGTTCTTCCACTCAAGCCATTTCCTCTTCAGCTGAGACTTCCAGTTCACGAGCATCTCTATGTCATAGTAACGCTGCGTGAGGAAGAGGAGGAGCCTCCTGTGCCGAGGAAGAGGAGGAGGAGGAGGAGATGCTGAGCTGGAGCACCACTGTCGCCTGGCAACAAGGAGGAGGAGAGCTGACCGCTGGCAGCATCTGTGTAGAGACTGTAGAGAAGAGGAGGAGACAGGAGGAGACAAACAGTGACTGCTGTGTCTAGTAGAGCTGCAAAGAAGAAGCATTTAGTTTTCACCTATTGAATAAACTGTTAACTATTTAATAGTTGATAGCTTTCTGATTCCAGCTTTTTAAGTTTTGATATTGTCTGGTTCCTTCGCTCTTCTGTGACAGTAAACTGTTACAGTCAAAACAAGACATGTGATGCCATCATCTTTCAGAAAACACTGATCTACAGTTTTCACCATTTCATGATTCACTAATAGATTAATCAACAGTGACCTTTCAGGTACAGTCGTCCTCAAATAAACTCAAATGCTTCCATTAAAGAAAAGGCAACATTCACAATAGTCACTCAAATAACTAGAAACTGACAAAAGTAATAATAAACAGAAATTTACTAAATTATAATGTAGTGAAATAAGACATTGCTTTTGAATTGTGGTCGAAAAGAATAATAATAAAAAATAAAAAAACTGTCCCATGCCAATGAAACCACTTGTACTCTGATACCAACAGCTTTTTTTTTTTTTTTGCTCATTATCTTAAATAGAGTAAAGAATGTGAATAAAAACGCACACATATCTGACATGTACCTATTACACCTCCGTACAGGTAAATCCATGGACAGATAGCGGTTAGCTAACAGCGGCTAGCTTACATCCACCATGCAACTACAGCTCAGCTCTCTCACGAACAACAGCTTTTACTTTATCGACTGACTGTGAACGCAGCTAAACGGACATTTAAAAGGGCAACGTAAAAAATGTTCTCATCTGTCTGCTCGGTGCCGTAATTAGCAGACATCTGAAGGGTAACTTACTGTCAAGGGGGCCGACATGATAAGTCCGCTGGACGGGATGTCGTGTGGGACAAACTTCCTGCTTCCGCGTCTCCTGACTCTCAGCCGGTTGCTGTTCTTCATGTCGGCCACGAGGTGTCGCTCAGAGCTCACCTCTGCCTACAGATGTGCAGACAGTGGTGGGAAGTAACTACTTACTCGAGTAGTGTTTACTCAAGTATTTTTACAATGAGTACAAATTTAAGTGGCTTAGTAGCCATAGTAGTAGTAGTACTATCAAGCTGCTGTATATTTCTACTCCAGTCCAGAAGGACAAATATTGTACTTTCTGTTTTTGCTGCTTTCAAGACAAAGAGTTTACACAATGGATAACACAGCAATCTTTTAAAATACAACACATTGTTTAAATCGGTGGTGTAGTGGCTATTTGTCCTGAGAAGAATCATCAAAAATAAAATTATCAAAATAAAAATAAACAGAATCAAATCAACTGAGGCACCTCGGCAATTAAAGGAAAATACGTCCATTGTCCAGGCAAAATACAAAGTTGTTTTTTTTTTTTTTTTTTTTTTCCATTGCAAGCAAACGAACAAGGACTCCTGCCGCCTCTCTTGCCCTTGTAAAGGAAACCATGAATCCTCCCAGGTGCCCGCTCACCTTTACCTGATTCACCCAGTGCCTTCAAAATAAAACCATGAACAACTACTCCAATTAACAAAAATTCTACTGATATTATAAGGCAACTAAAACTGTTTTCTTCAAACAGAACAACAACATAAATGACTAAATATTTAACTATTAAATTACAAAACTGATGATATTACTAATAACAAATAGCTATCTGTGGTTTCCAGCCTTTTTGACTCCACAAAAGAGATTTTACCCTCTTTATTTCTCACACGGTTTCATTTCAACAAATGCTCATAAATAATCTAATATCTCGTGAAATATTAGCACATGAGAACAAAAGCTGAAGACAGATTTGTGGATCAAAAGTAGAACTTGATGTCAGATACCATGATTATGATATGAGTCATGATTTTAGTGAGAATATTATTTTTTGGGTTTCTTTGATGCCTCATTTTTGACAATGCTTCATTTATAATATTACGTATACATGTATTACTGGAAACTCAAGACTGCAACAATATGGTACACTTGTAAACACCATATACTGGTACATCATTGCTTCCAGAAATAGGAATAAATCTGCTGCATCGAAAATATACACACAACAAAGCTAATATTGGGTTAAATGTCACTCAGTCATTTTCACCTCAACCATTTTCTGGT